TAAGAGGAACACACCTAGACATAATATAATTAAAATAACAAAAATTAAAGATAAAGAGAGGCTATTAACAGTAACAAGGGAAAGGCAACAAATAACATACAAGGAACTCCCATAAGATCATCAGCTGGTTTTTCAGAAGAAGGTCGCAGGCCAGAAGGGAGTGGTGTGATATATTTAAAGTGATGAAAGGGGAAAACCTGTAACCAAGAATATTCTGCCCAGCAAGGCTCTCATTCAAATTTGACGGATAAATCAAAAGCTTTACAGACAAGCAAAAGCTAAAAGAATCCAGCACTACCAAACCAGCTTTACAACAAATGCAAAAGGAACTTTTCTAGGTGGAGAAGAAAAAGCCAAAACTTTAGAAACAGGAAAACTACAGAACGGAAAAACTCACTGGTAAAGGCAAACCTACAGTAAAGGTAGGAAACCATCCATGCACAAGCTGGGAGGAAGGTGAAGAGACAGAAAAGTAGTAAAATCATCTGTATCCACAACAGGCAGTTAAGGGATACACAAAACAAATGTAAAATACGGTATCAAAAACAGTAATCATGAGGGGAGGAGAGTATAAATGCAGGGTATTTAAATTGCATTTGAAATGAATAGGTCAGCAACTGAAAGCAAGCACATATATATGTGTATATCCAGACTGCTATACCAAAACCTCATGGTAACTGCAAACCAAAACTCTGTGATAGACATACATACACACACACAAAATGGAATCCAAGCATAACATTAAGGAGAGTCGCCAAATCACAAGAGAAGAGAACAAAATAAGAAAAGGAAAAGATTTACAAAAACGAATTCAAGACAATTAGCAAAATGGCAGTAAGAACACACACAGCAGTAAGTGCCTTAAATGTAAATGGACTAAACCCTCCAACCAAAACATACAGACTGGCTGAATGGATACAGACAAGAACCATGTATTTGCTGCCTACAAGAGACTCATTTCAGATCTAGAGACACATACAGGCTGTAGGTGAGGGGATGGGCAAGGGTATTCCAATCAAATGGAAATCAAAAGAAAGCTGGAGTAGCAATACCTATATTAGAAAAAGTAGACTTTACAGTAAAGACTGTCGTAAGAAATAAATAACAACAGTACATATTGATCAAGGGATCAGTCCAAGAAGAAGATACAGCAACTGTAAACATATATGCACCCAACATAGAAGCACTTCAATATATAAGGCAAATGTTAACAGACATAAAAGGAGAAATCAACAATAACACAGGAACTGTGGGAGACGTATCACTCCACTTACATCAGTGGACAGATCATGCAGACAGAAAACCAATAATGAAACACAGGCCTGAAACAGCACTTCAGACCAGATGGATTTAATGGATATTTATAGAGCATTCCATCTGAAGGCAGAATACACATTCTTCTCAAGTGCACATGAAACATTCTCCAGAATTGACCACAGGCTGGTCCACAAAGCAAGCTTCAGTAAATTTAAGAAAACTGAAATTGTATCAAGCAACTTTTCCAACCACAACACTATGAGATTAGAAACAAACCACAAGAAAAAAACTGCAAAAAACACAAACATGTGGAAGCTAAACAATATGCTACTAAACAACTAATGGATCACTGAGGACATCAAAGAGGAAATAAACACAATGCCTAGAGACAAATGAAAATGAAAACACAATGACCCAAAACCTACGGGATGCAGCAGAAGCAGTTCTAAGAGGGAAGCCTACAGCAATACAAACTTACCTTAAGAAATGAAAAAAAACCAACCAAACAAAAAACCTAACCTTACACCTAAAGCAACTAGAGAAAGAAGAACAAACAAAACCCAAAGTTAGTAGAAGGAAAGAAATCATAAAGATAAGAGCAGAAATAAACAAAATAGAGAGTAAAAAAATTAGAAAAGATCAATGAAACTAAAACCTGGGTCTTTAAAAAAATACATGAAATTGATAAACCTTTAGTTGACTCATCAAAAAGGGAGAGAGGGCCCCAATTAATAAAATCAGAAATGAAAAGGGAGAAGTTACAACTGACACCACAGAAATACAAAGAACCAAAGGAGGCTACTATGAGCAGGTATATGCAAATAAAATGGACAACCTAGAAGAAATAAACAAATTCTTAGAGAGGCAGGCCACACTGCCCAAGGCAATCTATAGATTTAATGTGATCCCCACCAAATTAGCCATGACATAGTTCACAGAACTAGAACAGATAATCCTAAAATTTATATGGTATCACAAAGACCCAGAATTGCCAAAGCAACGCTGAAGAACAAGAAAGAAGCTGGAGGAATAACCCTCCCAGACTTCAGACAGTACTACAGAACTACAGTCATCAAAACAGCAGGGTACTGGCATAAAAACAGACATATGGATCAATGAAACAGAACAGAGAGCCCAGAAATAAACCCACAGAACTACGGTCAATTAACCTTTGACAAAGGAGGCAAGAATATACAAAGGAGAAAAGATAGTCTTTTCAACAAGTGATGTTGGGAAAACTGGACAGCAGCATGTAAATCAATGAAGTTAGAACCCTCCCTCACACCAAACACAAAAATATACTCAAAATGGCTTAAAGACTTAAATACCAGACAGGACACTATAAACCTCCTAAAAGAAAACATAGGCAAAACATTCTCTGACATAATTCTTAGCAATTGTAAAAATAGATAAATATATATAGCACAGGGAACTATATTCAGTATCTTTCAATAACCTCTAATGAATATGAATGTATGTATGCATATGCATGACTGGGACATTATACTGTATACCAGAAACTGACACATTGTAACTGACTGTACTTCAATAAAAAATGAGACTTCTTTAATTTTAATGATTCATACTGAATTTAGTACTATTTAGTAGAGACAAATGAGTCATCTGCTTAAGTACCTACACACACAAAAATACCTGCTCCTTCACAAAAAACACAACAGGATACGTTAAAAAACTTACAGCTTCTATCGACATTTTTCAATACAAGGTTAAGGTAGGTAAACATTTTTTTCCCCAATTTTGTTACTGCCTTTTTGAATTCTAGAAAGGACAATGGAGCACTCCATCCTAAAAAGCATACATTTTCAGAAACAAATTTATAAAACATTTCGTATGAATAGTCCTAAAGGTTTATCTTTTTTTGTCTGAATTTTTTAACTTAAAATTCAGTATTTTAAGATAGTTTTATTCATGTGTCATAATACACTCTCAGATCATATAAGAATTTTAAGGATTTGCTTTGATAGCCACAATGGAATATTTATAACTGCCTATTATTCTTCTCACAGCTTTAATACACCATATATAAACCTTCACCTCTTCTAAAACTCTCCAAGTTACATGAATAAATAATCAGCATTAAGATCTTGGGTAATTTCCCACGGGGGCTATTGCTGAAGCAGAAACCAACTTCATCTTCTTTGATGTCTATTAAAAGTCGTAAATGGAAATCCCAGGTCAGTCTTTGACAAATGCTGTTTTTCCTATTGGCTTTCAACACAGTTAAACAATCTAAACTTGAGCCAAATATGAGAGCCCATGGAAATCACTTCTGATTCTTTCTCAGATTACAAAAGAAAACTGGCTTCATAGTTAATGTCTCACATGAATTTTCTAATGAAAAACGTACGTCCAATGTCAGAATCAGCAAGAAAAGCAGGCTTTACCAGTGAGTTCAGTGCCCGTATCTTACTCATCTTTGTGTCCCCGCCCCCCACGTCCAGAGCAGTACCTTGGCGAACACTAGCTGACCTCGGCAAAGAACGCAAGTGTGCTCAAGGACTAACCTTCAGAAGCATTTCTTCATGTTGGGGATTATCAGAATCATACGGTTCTCTGCGCAGTTTTTCCACGTCTGCAATAAGATTTCTGTACCCGACGATCTGCAGAAGGCAAGCCTGAAGAGAGATTCCCAACCTAAGGTGTTAAAAAATAGAAGAAACACACATGAGGAAGAACAAAACATATTCTTTGGCATTTGTTCACTTGATGCAAATACAATGGGGTTTTTCATAATTATATAATATTCAGGAAATTGCTCAAATAGATCTACCTAATAGGAGCACAATTTCTTACTAAAACTCCACATGGACAGTTGTGGAACTTGGCTAAAATTTACTTCTCATTCCAGCCTTTCCTTAATCCAAATGGAAACAATATGGATTAAAAACAATGAAAACCTGTGAATGACCAATAGGTACATGAAAATTGTTCAATATCACTAATTATCAGAGAAATGCAAATCAAAACCACAATGAGGTATCACCTCATACCAGTCAGAATGGCCATCATTAGTCCACAAACGATAAATGCTGAAGACGGTGTGGAGAAAAGGGAACCCTCCTACACTGTTGGTGGGAATGTAGTTTGGTGTAGCCACTGTGGAAAACAGTCTGGAGATTCCTCAAAAGACTCAAAATAGACTTACCATATGATCCAGCAATCCCACTCCTGGGCATATATCCAGAGGGAACCTTAATTCAAAAAGACACCTGCACCCCAATGTTCACAGTAGCACTATTTACAATAGCCAAGACATGGAAACAACCTAAATGTCCATCAACAGATGACTGGATAAAGATGTGGGTGGTATATTTACACAATGGAATACTACTTGGTCATAAAAATGATAACATAATGCCATTTGCAGCAACATGGATGACCATGGAGAATGTCATTCTAAGTGAAGTAAGCCAGAAAGAGAAAGAAAAATGTCATATGTCACTCATATGTGGAATCTTAAAAAAAAAAAAAGACAAACGAACTGACATATAAAACAGAAATGGACTCACAGACATAGAATACAGACTTGTGGCAGCCGGGGGAAGGGCGTGGGAAGGGATAAACTGGGAGTTCGAGATTTGCAGATACTGACCAATACATATAAAATAAACAAACAAGTTTATACTGTATAGCACAGAGAAATATATTCAATATCTTGTAGTAGCTTATGGTGAAAAAGAATATGAAAATGAATATGTGTATATTCATGTATGACTGAAGCACTGTGCTGTACACCAGAAATTGACACAACATTGTAAACTGATTATACCTCAATTAAAAATTTAAACAAACAAACAAACAAAACAAGGGAGCTCTTTATGCAGGTGACTTGAAAGTAGATGTGGAAAACACAGGTGATCATGGGTTCTTAGGGATCACTGACCTCCCTTAGAGGGGTATATCACAAACACCTGAGAAGTGTGTGTATGTGTGTGTGCAGGAGAGACAGGGACAGAGACAGAGACACAGAGACAGACAGACAGAGAGAGAGAGACAGTAAAAGAGAAATAGTGAAATAACGCTTAGGGGTTTAGGGGTCAGAAAAACTTCAAAACAAGTAAAAACAACAAACACACCTCGGCTTGGGAGCGCCCCTGACAGCCAAGGCAATGAGAACTCACCACTTTACAAAATTTCCTTTTCCATTTGGACTGCTCTAGTTGTCTGAATGCTTTTTCTTTACTTTTCTTTTTTTGTTTGTTTGTTTGTTTGCAGGGGAGGTAATTAGGTTTACTTATTTTTGTTTTATGTATTTTTTAATGGAGGGACTGGGGATTGAACCCAGAACCTCATGCATGCTAAGCATGTGCTCTACCACTGAGCCATGCCTTCTCCTTGAATGCTTCTTATGCTGAAAGATAATAATAAGGGAAGCTGATTTTGTTTGTTACCAAGTGGTTCAAATGCTGTTCTCAGAGCAAATGTATTTCCCCTTTGCCCTGCCATGTCTATTGACTTTAAGACAGGAATTCTTCCTTCTAGTCCCATCTCCAGAGTTAAAAAACCCAGAAAAACCAAAAACCTCTCTTCCTTCGATTCCTTCTCATGGGACATGGTTTTCAGATGTTTTACTAACTTGCTCAGTCTTTTCTAAATGTACGGTTTGATTAACAGTCCCCTTAAAACATCACTGGAACAGAAAACAGTCTGGCAAGCGCGACATACAGAGGATCACTACTCCCTGTGATCTGAAAGCTGGTTTTCTCTCCTACAACATAGAATATAAAATAGGGTCTTTTTAAGCAGTCACATAACATGACGAGTTTACTAAACAGGTGGCTAAGTCATCACCAAGGTCTTTTTTTCCTACAAACTACCGTCACATAAATTATCCTTTTGTACTCATTCCATGGCATTTTTAAATCTAAAGGTAGTATTTCGTGTTTGTTTATTCCTGTTAAGTTCTTTACAGTTACTCACTTTTGTGGTTCAACAATAGCAATTTCATATAAATCAACCCAAGAGTTACTATCCAACATATTCCTACTCCTATTTCACTCACTAAATCAAAACATTTTTTGTTGGAGTGGTGGTCATCATGATCACAATGACAGTTTCCTCCTTTTGTTTGTGGGGGGGGATGAATGCATAGAGGTTAAGTCTAAAGTTGGGAGCAAAAGAAAATTCTTTTTTTCTTTTTTTTTTTCATTGAAATATATTCAGTTTACAAACCTGTATCAATTTCTGACATACAGCATAATGCTTCAGTCATACATATAAATACATTTATTCATTTTCATATTTTTTTCACTATAGGTTACTATAAGATATTGAATATAGTTCCCTGTGCTATACAGTAGGACATTGCTGTTTATTTATGTGATATATAGTTGTTAGTATCTGCAAATCTCAACCTCTCAATTTATCCCTTCATACTCCCTTCCTCTCCAGTAACCTTAAGTTTATTTTCTATGTCTGTGAGTCTGTTTCTGTTTTGTAAGTTCATTTGTCTTTTTTTTTTAGATTCCACATATAAGTGATATCGTACAATACTCTTTCTCGTTCTGGCTTATTTCACTTAGAATGACATTCACCAGGGACATCCATGTTGTTTTGTTGCAAATGGCATTATTCTTTTTTATGGCTGAGTAGTATTCCATTGTGTAAATATACCACCTCTTCTTTATCTAGTCATCTGTCGATGGACATTTAGGTTGTTTCCATGTCTTGGCTATTGTATATAGTGCTGCTATGAACATTAGGGTGCAGATGTCTTTTTGAATTAGGTTCCCTCTGGATATACGCCCAGGAGTGAGATTGCTGGATCATATGATAAGTCTATTTTTAGTCTTTCAAGGAATCTCCATACTGTTTTCCACAGTGGCTGCACAAAGCTACATTCCCACCAACAGTGTAGGAGGGTTCCCTTTTCTCCACCCCTTCTCCAACATTTATGGTTTGTGGACTTTCTAACGATGGCCATTCTGACTGGTATGAGGTGATACCTCATTGTGGTTTTGATTTTCATTTCTCTGATAATTAGCAATACTGAGTATTTTTCATGGACCTACTAGCCATTTTTACGTCTTCACTGGAGAATTGCTTGTTTAGGTCTTCTGCCCATTTTTGGATTGGGTTTTTTGTTGTTGTTGTTGTTGTTGTTGTTGTTATTAAGTTGTATGATCTATCTATATATTCTGGAAATTAAGCTCTTGTCAGTCTCATCGTTTGCAAATATTTTCTCCCATTCCGTAGTTTGTCTTTTTGTTTTGCTTATGGTTTCCTTAGTTGTGCAAAAGCTTGTAAGTTTAATTAGGTCCCATTTGCTTATTTTTGCTTTTATTTCAGGGGCAATAGAAAATTATAAGTTTTAGGATGGTATACTTACTCCAAACATAGAGGGCAGTGTCCAATAACCCAGGATTCTACACTTAACCAAAACTGGGCATTCAGTGAAATGGCCCTTATAATTACTTGTTACCACAGCACCAAAAAACTAAGTCGGATATTTAAATTTAGGAAAAGGGCACAGTGGCACTCATCACCCAGAAATCCAACACAGGACTGAGAAAAGAGTTAATTTTGAGGGAAAGAAAAGAGTGGGAGAAATAAAAAAGAAGAGAACAAGGGAGCCAATTCAATTTTACTGCAGTAATTCTTACCACCACCACGCTGCACTTGGAAAAATGTGATTAAAACAAAGTGTGAGTAGAAATTATGGCTTGATAAATTACAAAGCATTTCCCCCAGTCCTCTCTATTTCTTGATTTTTTTTCCAGAAAATTATTTAATTTTTCAAAAAGTCACATTTTGTAAGTGTTAATCTCGGGGGCGGGGGAAGCACTAAAATCTACACTGAGATGTAAAAACACAATCCACTACCTATAAGGGTTTTTTTTTTTCTCCCTAAAGGAAATCAAAAGAACAGATGGTAAGGAAATGCTTCTGAATGAAATACATAGCTTTTATAAAAAAGACAGGAAAGATTCTATTTAATCTAACTCAATCTGTAAATATGATTATAGGTCTAATATATCCCTCATGCTTAGTTGTAATCTTAAATCTTTGGTTCAACTTAATTTAAAATGAATCGCATTCTTACCACCTTCCCTGAGAAATAAAATATATGTCAGAAGGTTTCAAAAAGACATTTACTGTATAATGAAATCACATTTAGTGGCTGAATAAGGAAAAGGCAGCTAATTAGCTGAAGCATCTGCAGAAGAATGATACGGAGACCATGTGGAAATGGATGGTTCTGTGATGAGCCTCAATTAGCTGGTACCTGGAATCCCTCCAAGAGATAGATGTACGTAAAGTGCACTCTGAAATTCCCTTCGACTGTAGCTCCCTGTCCTCGGCAATTAAAAGCTTTTCTCAGCTATAACATCCAACATTCTCGAATGTGCACATCTAAAAGACAGTTTGATTGTTACCAACCTAAACCGTCTCTGAATATTTCTGCACGTGGAATTTATTCTACCTAATATCCTTAGCCTAAAATTTTACAGAAAAATTCCTGTACCCAGTGGAAAATATAAAGCTAATTTTAAATGTCATGTCCACTGCCAAGAGCAATTTAATACTTCCAAGATGACTAAATTACAAAGTTCTAAAGTCTTCATATAAAAACCCTCTCTCCCTCCCACACATGCCTGTCTTCTTGACAAGCAGGTAGAAACTGTCTCCAAGATTATCAGCTTGCCATGAACTGAAGGAATATTCTTTATGAGACAGAATCAGCTCAGGCACATTTACAATTTGAACATTTACTGTTAATGTAAAACACAGGCACCCCTATGGAGTGACTATTGACAAATGGGCGCCCTTTATTTCATCTCCTGCTGTCAGGTCCTCCATCATTTCCTACATTCACTGCATCTCAGAAGCATGAGGATAAATCACAACAGAATTACAACACTGCTATCTACAAAGATGAAAAAGGCACTTTTTTCTTCACTTTCCATCTGAAAGTCAAATATTGCAGATGACTGGGGTGGGGAAAAGAAAGAGTATTTAAGAGCCTATTTAGCGAGAGAGTATTTAGAAATACTAAACATATGGCCATGTGACTCATTTTATATTTACTTACTGTGGATTTACGTCGGGGTTAATTTTTTTCAGTTCCATGATGTCTTCTATGGTTTTCTCGATAGCGTCGGAGTGAACGCTCACTGAAGTCTGCAACAGCTGGAAAACAAGTTTCAGTCGGTTCCCTGGCCGTGAACGCTGGTGTCTTAAGTGGAGTCTATTTAAATAGGGGCTTCAAGTATTTGTTTAAAGCTTCTAAAGGAAGACAGCAAACTAAAAGCAAAAACTGATTTCGTATTTGAATTCTAGTAAATTTGATATTTTCAAAATGGGGGTAGTGCAATTTTCCTGATTAAGGTTATTAACATAAAACAAAAATAAATCAGTTTCTTTTTAACCATCCTCATCTATTTCAAGATACTTATACTGAAATACATTGTATTTTCTTTTTCTCACTCAACATACATGGTTTCCTTTGTTAATGGGCATTACATTTTTGACTGTTTGAAGTACACAGGCAATACAGTCTTAAGGATGCCAAAATTAAATTAAATACTCAAGAATCTTGAAAAAACAGATTATTTTTCTCTCACATGGATGCTTACCTATGTACTATAAATGCTAGCATAGTGGCTTCTTTGATTTTCTTGGAAAACCTTGAGTATAAAGTTAAATGATTTGGATATTGAGGAAAAATACCAGAGTTAATACTATTCTTATTTTCAAGGAATTTAGTTTATGATTTGGAAAGAGGTATAAAAACGGATTATTTCCACAATGAAATCATACCTGCATCATAAATCTGCCTAGAAATTCATGAGTAGCTGCTCTCATGTAAAAAGGACAGTGGCTTGTGAGAGGAAACCAATTCTTTCTTCTCAGTTTGTATTAATATTCATAGCCAAAGATATGTTTTTGTTTCTTAAAATGTTTACCTTTTGAGATGAAGGTAAGCCTCCATGTAAAAAAGCTGCTGAAAAATACAGAAACAATTTTACTTACCTTACTTTTTGAATCCCTCAGTGATGTCTCTGTAAAAGAGATAATAAATCAAGCCATTCAAAAATTATCTTTTGCAAGTGGTTTGTAATTACTATACTGAAATATAACACCGCATCCGCAATCCCAGAGAGCCCACATTGTGTTTATTTCTTTGTCTCGTGCTTACCGATTTTCATGGTTCTGGAGGCCCCAGGCTTGGTACTGTAACAGATCCGCTGCAGTTCACATCTCCCAGTCAGCTTTCTCATTACAAATTTCAGGCAGCGCCACAAAAATTTACAGTAAAAATACAGGCACACCTGGATCAACATTCTGCCAAAAACAAAAGACAGGTACCTTCCAACAGAACTCTGGAAAAGAACCGAGAGCAGCCACCACCAGCAAGGAAAGAAGCCCAGGAAGAAAAGCAGCCGTTAGCCTTCTGGGTTCACAAGCACATTTCCTTTTTCTACTCCCACATGGTTTTACTTGAGGCCGCTACAAAGCCCATCGCGGGGAGGAGCCCAGGGTCGGGAAGGGCGCACACTGCCCGCGAGCCCCAGAACGCCCCATTCTAGTAAGTCCGGTGTTCCAACAAACTAGGGGCGAAGCATGGGGGCCTTTTCCCCCTGCTTTTGCCTAAAAACATTTTGAAGGCAAATCAGTACCTTGGGAACAGAATCCTTGTGCGTTAGAAGTCGCGTCGGCCCCAGACCCGGGGAAAGGACGCGCTACGGCTGCTCCCACCCTCTGCCTCCACGATCGGCCTCGGCTCGCCCCAGTTCGCTGCCGGCCGCTCCTTATCCCTAGTGCCTCGTTTTCCGCCTCCGTTTTATCTCTTCCTTTGCTCCCATGCTTTCCCCCTTTCCCCTGTTTTCCCTTAGGCACTGCTGTCCTCTTTGAGAACTGGGTTTTGTGGCCACTTGTCTCCTCTGTTGACCAATCCCAACACTTCTTGGATGGGCCAGAAGCTTCCTCGTGAGTTCACTCAACAAGCAGGCTGGCCTTTAGGCCCCCAGCATCCTCCGATTTAAACCTTCCCCAAACTCCCCCTCTTGGCAAGTTTGTTCTTGGCTCCTGATAGTTTTCTTTATTGCGCATCCTAACTCACTCCTTAACAATCACACACCACTCGTGCACTTATTCACAGCGTCTCTGGTACACATGAATCTGTGTTTTATGCCAACTTTCAGTTTTTAATACGTGAGTGTGTACTACTTCGTGGTACTGTTCAGAGTCTCAAAACGACTCAGGCTACAGAAAAGAACTTATCATGCAGGAACTTACACTCAACCCACCTTCCCAGCTTCTCTTAATACTGTGTGTTCCTAAAAGGCAGAATTATTTGTGTTACTTCGCATTGGTGTCATTTCTAAAAGATATTTCTTTTTCTCAGATGCTCAGTGATTCCCTCCAGCTCTAACATAAGGTGACCCACATGAGTTAGTGTAGTTAACTAATAGGCTCAATGATGTGAGTAATCCCTGAATTCGAACCAACACCTTGATTGTGTTCCTTTGCTCAAATTGCTTTGGCTCCAATACCTTGAACAGCCTGTGTTAAAACCAGCAATTCCAACAGGCTTACTTGTACAAAGGCATGGAGTCTGTATCATATAAATGAAAAAGGAATGGAGGAAACATAGTGACCAAACTGCTACACTAAGATATGACAGAATCGTTTGTAGGCAACAAAATTATATTCTTGAATATCTAATAATACAAGAAAATGTCCATAATATGCTTATCAAATAGGGAAAAGTTAGAAAAGAACATGTATGGAACAATCTACTTTTTCTTTAATAAATAATACAAAAAATGTGATGGTGACATAAACAAGGAGAAAAAGATTGGTGGGATACACAACAAAAAGGTTAACAGTAGTATTTCTGGGTAATGGAATTATGAGTAATTTTTATTTTCTTTTCAAAATATATATATATGTTACCTGATTTCAGAAAAAAGAAAGTTCTAACAACAATTGAAATGTATAAAAAGATCACCAAAACCATTACAAAAGTACATATGAAATTTCTATGTGACGTCAGAGTCTGCTGAAAGTCAAAAAATGGACTTACTTTGTTGTAAATTCTGAAATTCAACTGTTTTAGTCAAATACGTTCTAAGATCTGTTAGGATTTAGGTTATCAGCTTCCCTCCAAAAAGTAATCCTACAAATAAATTTGGTGGAACATTTTAATTAGATGAGTGAGAAATTTTACAAAACCTCAAGTTGCTCTCTTGGGAAAAATTTTCCATTTTTCCAACTACTGGATAGTTATGCCAGAAAAAAAAAAGATTGAGCAATACATTTGTTCACTGGTTATCAGCATACTAATAACTGGTTGGGATTAATTCTATCACTAAGTCAAGGATAAAGCTTTACATAGTATCTGCCCTTGTGGTACCCACGTGCAACTTCCAGTGAAGTTTGCCTAGCACGTGGGCCAGCTCCTCAGATGAAGCCTCTTTTAAGTCTGTGCATCTGGGCTCCATGATAATCAGGTTCTTATAGTATAAATCCTCCTAGAGAAAGGGTTCTGATTTTTCTTTAAGTAGTATCTTTGTGTTCTCCCCACTTAGGGTCCAAGTCAAACTACAAACTACTGAGTTTCCCCCACGCAACTTCTTCATCAGATCTATACAAAGATGTGGCCTGAGACCTATAGGTGTCATCCTAGATGGCAGGAAGCACCTAGATATAAAGTGACTTATGGCCCATCTGTAATTCCTCCTACTGGCCTTCTCGCACATGTGAAGAAAATGCCCAGGGAATTGTTTTGCATCAAGACAGCCTTACATAAAAGAAGAGAAAGGACACTGTGTTCTATTGCTTTTCTTTTGTCTTTTTTTCAGGCCCCCTGGGGATACGCACACTGTCAAAGACAGGGGAACCCAGTGGAAATCCACAGTGAAGGGTCAGAGATGACACATGACTTGTTAAGTCTCACTGCTCTGAGAGGTGGATCACAACCCTCTCACACAGTCGCAGAAACAATATTACAAACTGTGAAAGGGAAGTGCCCATTTGTGTATCCTGTGAACTGACACTTACATACGGCTTCTTTACCCTTTCATAATTTCTGGGCCAGTAGTCCTGATCATGCTATTTTTTACCCAGAATGTGTTTTGATTTTTTTCCCCTTGTTTTTCTAATGGGCC